CATGAACATATGTAAACATATATAATAGTAGTTTGAGCACCTACAACTTCCTTCAAACAATCGAGCACACCACAATATCACCCATGTGTATCAAGCGGAGCACTTGGTGCTCCAGCAGAAGCCAAATGATGGAGCACATGGATCCACAGAGAATTCCCCAACTGAACATATCATTACTTCAACATATCTGCACAAAGCGGACGGACCCCGCTTCAGGAGAACTCTTTGGTTCTGCCAGGAACGCAAGGTTCTGCATGCCAAAGCCCGAGCCTCTAAGGTCTTTTTCTTCTTCCTTTTAGCTTCTTCTGCAGCATTCTTCTTTGCTGCCAATTCCCTCAAGTGCTCTTTCAAGACTATCCTGAGGGCAAGCACAACCATACAGTGAATGAAATTTGGATGGGCAGGGCAAAGGCCTTGCTTCTCGTGCTTGGTAAACTGTGTCCCCGCTGTCTAATTTTAGTAAATTGTATGATCTTAGGACTCCTGACGGATCTCGAAGGAAGAAATGATAAGAAATGCCTAGGACTCAGGTTTCGACAGATGCACCGCCCTTTAAAAGAGAACCAAGCATGTCACAGAGTCAAAGGTGCCTAATGGGCTTTGGAAAGGGTGCCTACGTCAATTGATCACCTGTTCAACGTCCAAAGAAGCTGCTTCTTCACCAGGCGTCACATGCCGGGCGACTCGGCCCTTGGCCTTTCGCAGGGCCACATTGACTTGGACAGGGACTGTCCGCAGTTGCGCTGCCTTGGAAAGATCTGTGTGCGTCGGCTATGTGAACCCTTGTTATTTCGAGGTCCCAAACTATTCAATGTCAATGGATGTTGGTGCTGTTTTACCTGTTTGTTTGTTGCGGTCAAAGTGATTGTGAGCAAGCTCGTAGGAACGAGGCTCGCAACAGGGCCAGTAGCATTTTGCATGTGGACTGCGCAGCAAATGAGAAACACTTCGCTTGAAGGACATGTGGGGCTCCCCCTGTCGCCGTCACTTCTCACGGACCTCTGTCAAGACCAAGCAACATGGCAACATCTGCTGCCTTTCTTTTGTGCAAAAAGCATCAAAAAGCCATTCAGAACTTCAGCTAGAGTGGCCAACAACCCTTAGACTGGCTTGTCACTTCTTTCTCACCAAAAAACCCTATGAAACCCTCATCATCAGCCAAGTCTCGGTGGCCCTTCTTGCATCCACTGAGTCCACGACCAGCTCCTCGCCTCGTCGGCTCGGATGAGTCCAAGGTGAACGAACGCACAGGACCTTTGACCGGTTGACGATTACCCATCGGACCGGACCCTTTCTTTTTTCATAAACGTGGCGACTACACCATGTCCAATGGTACATTGAACAATTACTGTAGTTTATCATATATATATATATTCTATATATAACTATATATATACATATTTAGATGTGATATGATGCCGTCGACTTGAAGAACGCAAAACAACAGAAAACTGCAGCTCACAAGGTTCCACTCACTGGAAGATTCAAAGATCCCTCCAAGTCACGGACCGCGAGTGAACACGTAAGCAAGCAGAAGGCCCAAGTGGCCAACATCGCCATGTGCAAGGCCTGAGAATCAGAACCACCTCATGTCTCTCTCAGAGTGACTTTTTGAGGCCTGCCTTTGAGCCCCAAATGGCAGCGACCGGCAACGGATGCAAATAGGGGGCCCATCCTGGACCATCCTAATCCTGGATCCAAACTAGTCTGTACAGGCATCCTCTTCACATGGTTGGTAGAGGAGTCCCCTCACTAATGGGTGGAACTGTGCTAAGAAAAATCCCTAAAAAGCCGCAACCACCAGCACGAGCACCAGCACCAGCACAAGCACCAGCCCAGCACCACTGCAACCACAAGCATGAAACAACCAGTGCGAATCTGTGCACCCCCCCTTTCCTAATCGTCCAACTCCTCAGGGAACGGCTGAGGTCGAAGGGTCGAAGGGTCAAGAGTCTTCAGTAACCTGTTCTCCAAATCCTGGGCCTTCGGGCGTCATACATGTCGGTCATGTACTTCTTAATGGTGGTCACTTCGAACATCAACCTGCATGGGTCGGCCGCATGGGTCGGTCGCACCAGCCACCACTCACATCGGTGTCGAAGCTTCCGCTGTGTGCGACGCAAAGACGAGAGGGTGATCTAAAATGCTGCAAAGAACTGAACCAGCCTTCGCAACATGTCATGCCATGTTCGTTGCGGAGTTTGTCATGAGATGGTGTGAAGTTATGGGGTTTGTGGCTGTTCAGGAGCAGAATCATTCGTGGGACACGTCCTGTGCGACTCATATCGAAACACATGGAGCCCCAAAGACTACGACATGCACAAAGATCATCAAGGCTGTAGCGACCCTCGCAGTGGTGGCCAGCGCTCTGCCACATTTGCCACCTCTTCCCCTGCTCTTCCCCTGACAATACTCCGATCACCCAGCCCGGGTCTTGTCCCCACCTGGCCACGTCGATGCTTTTCGCGCCACCGCTGAACATCTGGATGCCCAGCGCAAACTCCTGGCACTAGGACTGCACCCATCACCGGCGTGGCTCAGAAAAAAGCAAATGTCTGCTACAGGTGGAAACGATGAAATCGTCAGTGGTGACTAATAACCGATAAAGTCGTGGCGAAACGCCACCAAACAATGGAGCTGGGCACGGGCATTGATTTGGCGGGACAATCCCTGAGAATTTGGCACACCACCCAGGTGCAAGCAAAGGCGGGCCTCCACTGAAACGCTGCCATTGTTCTGGAAGTCCAGCCTCACCGCATAAGGCTGAGGTTCATTACCTGCTGAACTACTGCCACCTCACCAAATCTAAGAAAACACTCCTCTATGACTCTATGAGCCCAAAGCTTTGTGAGGCACGACCATCCTCACACAGCAACGGAACTGTGTAAAGACGGTGAGTGCCCGAACCACCGTTTGGATGACCCCCTAGTAGCTGACGCAAATGGTCAACAGGACCATTTGAGGGGCAGTGAACTGAAATGAATCCATCTATAAGACACGTTTAAAGAATCTTCATAATTTCTATCAGGTAGCCAAAGGTAGTCACAGGTAGTCGCTCCTAGGGCGCCCAAAGGCACTAAGGCCCAAGTGACATGTGGAAGACGTTCTTCAAGTCTGCTTCGGTGTCTAAGGCAATCCTTGGTCGCGTGACGTTTGTGCAGTTCGAAACTCATCCAAGCCGCTGTTGATACACCTGGTTCCAAACCACATGTGGGTCACATACCCTGCCAGGTGGCTGCCATCTTGCACCTGTCCCGAAAGTAGGTTAATCAATGACTATCAATGTTCGCGAGTAGCTGATGCAAATTTCGAACAAACACAAACATGAACAGAAACTGAACAGAAATTATCGTGTATTGGTCTGCCTGCTCGGGGCATGGCATGCCAGGATGGCCCACACCTGATGCACACTCTGTTCTTCACAACAAGTTCTCATCATCCAAGGGGCCCAAGCTTCTTAAAGCACGTCTGGAAGCGTAAATCAGCTGCACATTGCTGAAACTCCTGCGTGACACCAGTTCCAAGTTCTGTCTGTGGGCAAATGTGTTTGGATCAGGCTGGTGTATTTGCACAAAGTCAAAAATTGCCAACATGTGCGTCCAAAGAATATTGCAGTACATGGCTCTGTTCAGTCCATCTTCCATACACCATGCGGCACCTATACGGATCACTTGTCCGAGTGCTCCGGGGCGGCCAACAACAGTCCTCTTTAGAGATCGTCTTATTGGGCTAAACCTTTCAATGTGGAACTTAACTGCAGCATGGCTTGCCACCAGGCAAAGGTGCTGGCTTCCATGTGCAAACTGTTTCAATGTACCAGTAAGACGGTATGAAACACCATGGAATGATAGCACCCCTGTAAGTAGGCTTCCGCCAATCCAGCATTTAAGGTCAAACAGTCAGAAGGCACTCACGAAACGAGTAATGGCGGAAGATTGTAAAATAACACGCCAAATAATGGTCATCCTAATCATTATAGACATGTTATGTTAGTTACAGTATATGCACTATTAAACAATACAGTATTTGTATAGTTAAAAAAAATATATACACATATATCAACTGTTACATTGTTTTGGAAATCATGTCTTGAGTTGTTTGGTTTGATTTGGCGGAGTGACTCAACCACAACAGCTTCAAGGCGTTCAAGGCCCGAACGAAACACATGTTGAGCGCACGCACTGCCAAGCTTGATATTTGCGCCAATCTGACCAAGCTAAACAATCGCAACCCCTTGGGCCTACACCAAGCACCCACTCAAGCACCCTCCCAGAAACTCTGGTTTAGGGTTTGCAGTCTGTCAGCTTGAGCGGGCATCTCACCCCTTGAACACCAACTTGTCATTCGAGAGGTCCCTCCTAGGACGTCTCACTGAACGGGCTCCCAGGCCCATTCAGCTGAGGTACCAGCTTTTTGGTCGCGCACGATTTGGCACCACGGTGGTGAAACACGTTGGACTGCGCTGCTTGGTGGCTCCCAGTTGGGAGGTTGGGTAGGGTCACCAGCTTCCTTCGCGGTGGTATCAACATGGCCAGTGCAGAACCCATCACGATGACTCTAGCATTCATATGCACGGAAACTGCAAGGAGACTGAAGAGCTTAACCAAGAGTTGTTGTTTTTTGTGGCCAAACGGACATCTTCCACATCTCCCCATCGAGCATCCTGAGAGCCGAGTCCCTTGGGGAGCCCCGGCTTCAAGGGTGCTACAACCCTACCTGGCGACATGACTGGTTGAAGCTTGGCACTTCGGGGGTCAAAAGGTCAGGAAGGTGCGGTACCAGGTACGGCATCTTCAGCTAACAGGTAGTGCAGTAGAGGTGATTTGACATTCCAAGTGCCAGACTCTCTTGCTCTTCGAGTGAGGTAGGACCATCCTTGTTGGAGGTCAAAATGCCTCACCCTTGGGTTGCTCAAATGTGTTGAATCGAATTTCCACGGGCCCGGTCTTGACCTCATACCTCAGCAGTCTTCATCCGTTTAGAGGTCAAGACCCAGTCACCTTGCCAAAGTATCCAAGCTGGGCGCCGTGGCTGTCTGCGTCAGCGGCGCACTCTGCGGGCGCGCCCCGCGTGCCGCCTCCGCCGCGCTTTGTGCCCGCTGCAGGTCCCGGCGACAGGCGTAGACGCTTCGCACGCGGGCAAAAGCGCTCCGCGGGCGCATCGAGCCAGGCGGTGGCTTCCTCAAGCAAAAAAGAGGCGCTTCCAACGGGAGGACAATCTCAAACATCCACTAGATGGACTCATTGACTACCTAGCCTACAGTGTTGTTTCTCACGTTTCATACCAAACAGCTGTTTCTCCAGCATGCCCTTGCACCCACGACCTGTCCCACAATGGTACGTAAGGTATATATGCCTCACCCACTCGTCGCCAATTGAAATCCAGGGCAATGCCGCAACGCACTAGCACTCTCTTCAGTAGCTCTGAATGTTATAAGATGTTTAAGCACTTGAAAAATCTTGAAAGTCCAATCTGTTCAACAGTTATTTCCTTCCTTAAGATGTTATATTTTTCTGTAATGGAGTCAGCGCCCGAGAGGTATGCCATGCTGCCAGGACTTGGCAGCTTTGCGGACTGCTTAGCACAATGAGTGGAAATGACCTTCTCAAAGAGCATCGTGCAGGCAACATGTTTGTCCTTCTCTGAAGGCCGGAATAAACAACCAACCAGCACGCCTGAGTTTGCGGTGGCACCTGCACCAAGGTTCTATGGCGGAGAAGGGTATAGATCCAAAAGGTGCAAATTGAGAGCTTCATATACGCTTCCCCAAGGTCTGCACAAATAGCTTCATGCAAACAATTTAAGGTCGGTCTATGAGTCTAAGTATTCTCTTTCCAACAAAGTAGGAGCAGGAGTTTGGGCTTCCAGTCGTTCAAGCTCACAAACAACAAGTTGACATACTGTACTTTTTTCCAAATTCTCCGCAAGGGGTCAAGCAATGCTACCCTATGACAACCGGTCGCCCCTCTACGGCCAAGCTTCTCATCTTCCGTCAAAAATATCCATGGAATCACAGTACCTGGGAGCTGCTGTGATTGGTGGGGACCCTGTTTTTTAACATTTGCAACATCCCCAAACCCTGCGGAGCATTGCCCATTATACAGCCGCCAAGACTTGCAAATGTCGTGCTTTCATATTCCAACCGCTGCATGTGTCTATTGCGTAGTTCTTGGCCATGCTATCCCTGGTAGGTCAACCCAGGCTTAAATGGTTTTTGGACTTGAAGTTCATCTACGTTCATCATAGCATCTCGGGATTGTGTAAGAACAAAAGGCCCGTTGTGTCCAAGCACAGAAACCCACACTAAAGTTCAAATATCGTGCTTTCATGTCTATCACTTTCCCGGCTTAGGGCTGTAAATGGTGGTTCTGGCAGGTGGCAGTCAAACCCACTAAATTTGGGTCCGCTCCGGGTGCCTGTTCTCGAGGGCTGTTGATCCCTTCTGTGCAACTGGCATTCCAAAACTATTCCTGCATTTGGGATCCAGGTCCAAAAGCTTTTTCAGTTCCTTATCCATCCTTCTCCACCTAAAGACCGTCGAAACGGCCACTGTTCTATTTGGTCCAGCAACGGAAGGGAGGAGGCTCTCGAGGTTCACACCTCGATGGGTTTCGACTCTCGACACCGGAGGTCGAACGAACATTAGCAACAGGAAGAACAGGTAGCTTCTTGTTCCTAGTAGCGTCCTTGTTACTACTAGTAAGGCACTTGTTACTAGAAGCGATGCACTTGTTACTAGTAGCTTCTTACTACCATATAAAATAATCTGTACAACTCCTATTCTGAATCTATTGATTCTATCTTTTGGTGTGGGGCGTCGGGCGTTGGCCAAGAAAAGCCTTAGGGAGTTGTGAGCAAAGGCCGGGGCGGTTCGGTGGGCGCTTCAAAGATTTGTTGATGCACGTTCACCTCACCACTAAAGAGGGTGGTGAGCATATCCGAGTACTTACTTCTATAATGTTGGACACTGATTAGTAATAGGGCCCTCTATAATGCTAACTTATTGAAAACTAATTTTTGACACCCTGTTTGTTTTAAGGGTCCTCTATTATGCTAATTTTTGGAGGGATCCTACTTCTAAACAATATTTAGGGCTAAGGATATTTCCGAAAGAAAAACACATAGTATATAATTACTACTAAGCCAATGGTTGGCTTGCTGAGAGTATTGATAAGATCTGATAAGAATAGGTTTCTCAAGTTCTTCTTCAAAACTCACAGCTTCCCAAAGCCATCAATTCCTTAATCAATCCTTTATGTAGTAGTATGAAAGGATTGCAAAGAATACATAATGATAAAGATTTTCAGAAAGGAAAATGAATACTAACTACAATCAATTACAAAAGGAATCCCTAGGAACCCAGATTTGTTTTGGTGGTAGTTCATTATAGAGGATCCCCCATTCAACCCGCTTCAGGATGCAATTTAACAACAGCATGCAGGAGAATGCACCAAGTGGAGCAAACCTAGACTTGAGGCCAGAGGGGGTGAACGAAAGCTAGCTAGGGGGTGAACGAGAGTCTGGTCGTCAGGGATGCGCGCTGCTGTGCTGGGTGCTCTGCTGGCGCCGGTCGTCTGCTGCTGCTGCTGCTGGCGCTGGGTGGTCTGCTGCTGCTGCTGCGGCGGTGGGTGCTCTGCTGCTGCTGCTGCTGCGGCGCTGGTTGGTATGCTGCTGCTGCTGCTCCTGCTGCTGCTGCTGGGTGGTCTGCTGCTGCTGCTGCTGCTGGTGCTGCTGCTGCTGCTGCCGCTGCTGCGCTGGGCGCTGCTGCGCTGGGTGCTCTGCTGGCGCCGGGTCGTCTGCGGCTGCTGCTGGCGCTGGGTGGTCTGCTGCTGCTGCTGCTGCTGCTGCTCTGGGTCTGCTGCTTCTGCTGCTGCTGCTCCTTTGTGGTTTGCTGCAGCTGCTTGGTGGTAGACTGCAGATGCTTGGTGTGCTGCAGCTGCTTGGTGGTCCCGCTCACCGCGCGCAGGGGGGAGTCGAACCGCGGGGGGGGGGTCCATAAGATTGATTTAATCAATTATTTGAGGTTTCTGAGGTGCGTCCACCCCGTCACTTAACTTGCTAAAGCAAGAGCAACTCCAGCTAGCTAAGGCTAGCTTTCGTGAAAAGGGCCTCCAACTCATCCAATGGCTTTCCCGTCGCCTACAAGCACAGCTTCCAAGTCCATGACACAAACCCAGGCCGCTCATCCAAACTTGGCATTGGAGACACTCTTGGATTCATCGTCGATTTGCTTGAAGGCAGGGATCTGGACAACATTTGAAGGTGATGTCCCGTCGAAGACTCATCAAACCCTGGCCCCCCTTGAGGATCCTGGAAAACATGTTCACAGCCGGGTGTTTCATATGCCGTCGGCTCATCTGCATCAATCCCAGCCACTTGGCCACGTGTGTGTCGTACCAGGCCCCCAGCCGATCGCCATGGATGCAGCGCGCCTCGTGCATTTGAAGCTCGCCTCCTGAAGAGGGTTGTTCGGCGGAAGCTCCGTGGTCGGAGATGGAGGTAGGCCATCAAAAGGGTAAAAGCACTGGGCATCTACCAAAACCCTCTAACAACTCTATTCTGGAGTCTGGAGGCTGAGGAGAAAGTGATGGGCGCCGGTGATGCAAACATGTGCAAACCAGGTGGTCGAAGTTGTTGAAGGGATGATTTGAGTTGCTGTGTGTAGCATGAGCAGCGTTTAGTTTGCTGTCAGGATTGCACAGCTTTCGCTGTGGAGATGGAGCAGCACATCTGGCCGGGCGGGTGGTTGAACACGATGAATTAGTGTCTCCATGTGTCTTCCCTCCCACGCTCGCCCGCAAACATTCGGACAGGGTTTGCAGGGCGACGTTTGTCAGTTGGCTGGTTCAGGGTTCAGCTGAAGGCTTATGGTACTTCAGGTCTTTCTTGACTACCATTGAGACAAGAAGGAGGGCGCACCTTGCTCCTCATGTCTTTTCAAAAGGGTTGTGGAAGACACATTAGGACACTGGGATCCCGTAGCGTGGCTTCCTCTAGAAGCCTGGTTGATTCGTCTCTTTCAACGGCATGTGGTCTACAGAATCAGTTCCCATGCCAACGGTTGCTCTGACTCTCCTGAGTTTTTGGCCAAGTCGAAGTCGATGAAAAGCCTCTGCAGTGAATGGCCAGCTCGATTCAGGAAGTGCTGCTGCGCCTCGGTTTCGGGCGACCCTATTCCTAGTAGCGTCCTTGTTCATAGTAATAAGGCCAGGAGCCCCTAGTAGCGTCCTTGCTCCTAGTAGCTGTAGAATTCCTTTAAAAGAACCAGTAGCTTCTTGTTGCGATGGCCTCCAACCTACTTGGGATGGCCTCCACCTAATAGCGTTCTGATACTCGCCCCGGAGTGGGCTCCATATTGCTTTGCAAGAGTGGTGCTCAGTGGCGGCCTTCCTCCGTGAAACATCTTCAACCCTTGGTGACAAGCTTGAGCATCTTGACCCAGGGATTGTGGTCAACACTCAGCATATTGCCCCTTGTATCTCCAAATCTGGCATCTCATTGGCCTGTTTCCTTCAGCATAATCCAAGAATCTACCATACCATACCATGCAGCGGGCCCAAACCACCACTCTGCTTTGGAAGATCTAGGATTCTGCTACCCCCTGTTGTGTCGCCAGCTTCGTATTCAATTGCGCAGTAAGTGACCGAATTTATGCACCCACAGGCTAGGCTCTCGACACTTTGTCACTTGATACTAGCTGTCCTGCAGGACCCTTCCAATCAACAGCGAGCCTCCCAAACCTTCACATACATTGGGCATCACTTCTATTACTATTCATTATAGGCCCTCGCTCTTAGGATGGAGGCCATTGCTATTAGGGTGGAGGCCATTCCTATTTAGTTTAATGCCCTCGGGGACTTACTCCATCTTCCTCTCCCAGCGACCGGCTCGGTGTCATAGAACCGCCGTAGCTCGTGCCGCTCTTCGCTTGAACAAAGCTCCGCATAGCCAGGGGAGAAGTAGCTACGCAGGGTGGAGTCCTGATTGCAGTAGGACAAGAGCCGAAGAAAAGGAACCCTCTTGCAATCCCAACGAGCCATGCCAAAAACCTCTATCCTATAGGGTCTATACTACTACACTCCCTGGAACGAACATGGAAGTGGAGAATGGCCCCCCTTGGAAGACCATTCTCCACTACAAACAGGTGGTTTTCCACTTCAATGTTTTTTGCTTCAGTTTTTTATGTTTTTTGTTGCGGCGCCGTTCCTTAAATTCACCACCCCTCAATTTAAGCTTTTGGGCTTGCGGCTAAGGTTTTTTTTCGCATATTTTTTAGTTGTGTCGTTCCTTAAATTCACCCCCCCTGAATTTAAAGGTTTGGGCTTGCGGCTGGTGAGTTGTTTCTTTAATTGTTGATATTGTTGGTTGTGTGTTGTGGTGTTCCTTTGTGAATTGATGCTATTGAGGCTTGTGGCTCAGGCCTTTTTCATGTTGGTGTGTTTGCTGTTTTGCAACAATTCTATGTCCAACAGCACGCCTGTTTCCCCATGAAGCACGTCCCAACCGCTTCGATCTTCGGCATTTCCATTCTTACATTCACCCTCCCCAATCCACTTCCCAGGAATTAACATAAGTTCTTAGTCAACTTTGTTGTGTCATTCTTTAAATTCGCCACCACCCCTGAATTTGAGTTTTTGCGGCTTGCAGCTAATGGCTTTTGCTTTGATTTCCGTTTGGTGTGTTATTCTTCCTTAAGTTCACCCCCTGAATTTATGCTTGCAGCTCAGGTCCTTTTCATGTCTGTATGTTTACAAAAAACTCCTGTCCAAGGCAACGGCAGGAAGTGATGCAACCCTTTGTTAGCCTATGTTTTGTTTTTTTGTGTGTGTGTGTGTGATGGTTGTGTGGTTTGTCGCCTCCGCCAACCTCAGCGAACCTAACCCTGACCCTGACCTTAAATACACCTGGACCGCTGAATAAAGACAGTTATATAACAAGCATCTGAATTTGACGGAATCAGACTGACAAACTTATGGACAAGTTGGTGCAGTGCAAAGCTTATTACTGTCTAGTGTACACTTATACAATGAAATGATAAGTGGTAAGGATTGCCCTTCTGACAAGACGCCATCGAAATATCTGAATCCCCAAATCTGTCACTTCGTTCACAAGTCTCTGGGCCCCAGCTTGCCGATATTTTCAGTTGAATGCAGAAACACCGTATAAGATCGTATGAGTAATCTGGCTTACGGAGGGCAACAAGACCTCCCGGCTTTGAAACGCCGCCATGAAAGGCCGTGAACATCCCACCATCCGGTCCTTTGAGTCCGTCTTGGGCTTCGGCATCTGGACCTCTCGCTTGGCATAGGGATGTGGCTGCTGCGCCTGCGCGGGGCAACTGAGACCTGGACATCCTGGACGGACACCAAAGACCTGCAGTCGTTTTCGGGGACATCCCTCCAAACATTTGGGGGCAATGCGAGCACCCAAAGCACCCCTGCCAGGTCTGGATCACCCCTACCATCCTCAACGTTGCTCTTGCTCCATGTTTCAACTTGCCACATCTGTCATCTCAAAAGGGAAAGCCCCCGGAACATCCCAGAACTATGTGCACCATGCCTCCCAAATAGACCAACAGCCAAATTTGGCAAGTTGGCCACCGGCCAGCAGCCATTTCGGCCAGCTGCAACCAGAAAAACGCCCGGACCGGGCCCTGTCCCTCCTGCATCCTCCTTGCAAGCCCCTCTGCATCAAACCAAGGGGCAGCTTCAGCAAGCTCCTTCACCGCTTCCTCCACCTTTTGGACCATCACGGTGCGGCTCGTCTCATCGGAGCGCGCTTGCAAAATGGAGGCCCGGCGTGCTAGCTTGATGCCTATGGTGCAGGAGGCCAAGGTACTTTGTCGTTGCGAAGTGTGCTCGAAGAACATTAGATAAACATAACATGTTGGTTTTCTGCAAACGCATGCAGCACTTTGTTGTGTGATTTTAGGTCAGCATCTGTGTGCAAATATGTTTGAGAACAAGACCAATGGCAAATTGTCTACATACATCTGCATACACTGCTTATTTATCCGGTTCCCATCCATCAGTCCTCAATGCAACCTTCAATTGTCCATGACCGCAAACGTAAGCACATAACCAATCCGTCAATCCATCATCAATCAACCAAATTGCCGAATTAATCAATCCATCAATATCACATCTACCCATAATTACTGCATACATTCCATTTCTTATCATGTCTCGTTACATTACTGCATAGAACGATTCCACGCACACAAACATTCGCGCTTTCAAGCATTCTGTCATATTCTTCCCATTACGGGTGTAATGGTTGACATATTCCCAAAAGAAGTTGGATTCAGTTGGATTCCCAAGCTCATTCTGCATTGGCTGCCTTCCCAACCTAATTTGTCTTTGACCTAGCCCGCCTGCTCCTCAGCTGGTTGTTCGGGAAAATTTATATAAATATGTACACATATTAAAGGAATAAAATATATCATATATTTATTTACATACAAATGTATACAGTGTATGTACATTAACATGTCTATCTATAGGCTTGTGCTTGAAACACAGCTTGTCCGCCTTTTTATGCCCATGTTCCCTAGCAGTCGGCAACCCTGTCGGCAAGGTGGATACCATGTGTCAAGCGTCCTTCAATTTCTTCAAGTTGTGTAGGCGACTCAGGAGCTATATGTTAGTCTGTGGGCTAGTGCAAACCAAATTGCTGGCAGTGTCCTGGGTGGGCTTCTGAAATGTCAGTCCTGAGCTCTCCAATCATTTCCGTGGGTTCGCACACACGTCCCGTTCACAGGATTGCAAATGGCATGGCCATTTGTACTTGGGTGTGCTGAGCGGGTCCAGAATGCTCTCCACTTGATGCATCATGGCACCATCATGATACATCTGTGGTTCACTACGCGTTGCTGAGGGCAAATGCAAACTGGTATAGTCTAAGTACAGTACTACTTTATACTTATTTTCACGCATTCTGCAAGATGTTAAGACGATCAGTCAGCCACAACACATCCCAAGAGTGTACAGCAGTGGAAAAGACCCAAAGTGGAAGGAAGAACCGAGGATCGTCGGCCCGACCCTTCGACGCACCCCCCCACAGGGATCCACGTGAAGGATATGAAGAAGGGCCTTGTGGATCCTATGAATGAAGTGAATTGACCAAACCAAACCCAAATGAATTGATTTGCCCCCCAAAATCAAGTCCTTTACCTGACCATGCTGAGTAAGGCTCAGTAAGGAATGCATCATAAATGATCCAATAATATCTATGGTGAGGGGCCATTCCCCTATTCCCTACAAGCCGCACCGGCCAGTTACTCACCGCAGTCGGTCCTCTGAGGTTGCTCTGCGCCGCCCATCAAATCCAGCTCGCTACCTGAACCCTTGGGCTGTGGCCTTAAGAAGAAGACTCTAAATACTTTTAAGGAACCTAATAGCGATGGCCTCCAACCTAAGAGCGAGGTTCAACGCCTCAAGCTCCTCAAGATTGAACATGCTTGAACCACCCCCACTTCATCCATACCTGGATGGCGCTCTGTGGAAGACTCTTTTCAGGGACCCCACGCTTGGATAAAACTTGGAACTTGTCATTCAAACCGCCATCCACCAAGCATCGACCAGATGGGTTTGAGACATCTGTCTCTGTGGACTGCCGCCGTGTTGAGGTGGCTGAGGTCCGACGGCTACCTCAGTGGGACACAAATGAACCCACGGCAGCGAATATTGAACACAAATGAAAACACGTGATGACACTGGGCCGCTGCAAAGGAAAGTTGCGTGCCTTCTGACACGAACATGGATTGCGGGCAAAAAAAGGCAATGGGAGCATGCATAAAAAGGACGCCTCCCCTTGTGGGTTCTATGCTATTAGTTGGATCGAGGCGAGTCAAAAGGAAGGAAGTCGCCTCAAGGACATTCCAACGAAAAACGCCCATTCAAAACAACTAATGCCTGCTGAGCCTAGCGAAGCCTAGGGCCTAGCAGTCACCCCAGCTGAGCCAGCGTAGCTTCGACCCTCCTCTTCAGCCCAAAAGCTGGCAGTCTTCGTGAGCGCTGACATACGCCGACTCGAGGCAGACATCCTGCCATGTGTTGGCCGGGGTTCTGCAGGCTCCGGGAACTCACCACCGGTTTCAAGAATGTCATCCCTTTCTTATGACAACGTAACGTATCCGGACAAAAAGGATCAAAGCTGCGGAACTCCAGGCGAGCTGGATAGCAATCTGTGACAAAAACTGATATTGCTGGGCTCCCGGCATTGCAAACCGACCCAAGAAATCGAAGGATGTGAAAGGCAGGAAGGGAAAGGAGAGAAACATTGAAGAAAAGGAGCAAGAACCCTCTGCAAATACATGTTGGTGCTCCAAGGCATTTGTGAAGTTCCACTATTGCCAGGTGTCCAGGGCTGTTAAGGTTTGGGTTAGAGCGGTCTTGATGTCATGGGATGACCATATTTCCAGGCAATCCGGCAATAAAAACAGCAGGACGTTGTTAGTTTCGTATGTGTATGTGTATGTATATATATAAATATATATAGATATGCATCCTTCAAACAAGAAACTGAGGACACGAATACAAAATCAAATAGAAGGTGACGGTCTAGTAAGGGAGCTAAGTAAAGTGTCAAAAGAATTAAAATAACATTTAAAAAACACACATAAGAAAATGGACGGGTAAACATCGTCCGGTGGCCGGTGCCCAGATTTGCGGTTTTAAATAGAAGAACGGCGCGAGTGGGTTCCCTATCCTCTCTTCCCTCTGCTCTCTCTTGATCCAAGATTGGCTGGGGCGAGTGGGTGTTTTGATGTTTTGCAGCCGTTGATTGCTGATGCACACTTTGTAATTGAAAGGGCCCCTCGAATCACCTCTATTGAAATTGATCGGTGTCAAATAGAATATTTACACAACTAATAATTATCTTCAAAAATCGGCCCCCACGTGATCGAGGGATGGATGTTGGTATATGCATCCAACAAATGGGATTCATGATGAGTATGTTCCAGACTTTCTGACACATAGAGTCATAGAGCCATGATCTGTCCAGTCCTTCGGCTATCCTTGGAGGTCATTCGGCAAAGAGGTGAGGCATCAAAGGACTCCCAGTCCGAGCGTGAGGGGCTCTGATCGATATCCCCAAAGCTCTCCATCATGCTCTCCTCGGAGATGTCTGCGTGGAAGGATGGTGCCATTGAGGTGATCAACCCGGGGTGAGCCACGGCAGAATTGGGGATGATCCACCCAAAACGCAGCTGTCGGGCTACAATCCCCTTTGCCAGCAACTCTGGAGCCTCTGCTCGCCATGGCATGTCAAGGGGTTCACGGCCCTGATAGTTGGACTTAGTGGATCTTGCTTGTGTTGGTAATGCTTTGATGGAAAGTGACTCTGTTTGGGACAATTGGGGAGCACAAAAGCTGTTTCATGTGCCTTATTCACTATAGAGTCTCACACACACACACACACATATATATATATATATATACATATATATACATAGTCATTGCCGGTGGTGGAAGATTGGAGCATTTCTTGCTTCCCCCACTGCGGAAGCGGCTGAGATCTACAAACAGTATACATATAGATATATGGGTCCCTTTTTGGACTTAGACATGTAGGAGAATCGATCTATGCATGCCTCAAGTTTAAGCACATGATATACAGTACCTCTGAAATGATTGTAAATATGGATTCGCGTTCACATGCTAAATGAGCACCAACGCCGCGTCTATCAATCCTGGAACCTGGCCTTAAAAGTTTAAAAATCTGAGGGCCTATGCCCTGAAGGTTTCCCAAATTAAGTTGTGAAACCTAAATCAGAAACAGCAATCTCATACGGTACCAAAGGTATCCAAAGGTGGGGTTGTTTGGCTGACGGATGCTGCAAAGAATTCCTTTTGGACGTGCAGTAGTGTCACAGGCATCTCGCTGGATGCATGTCCAAGTCACACCTCATATCATGATTCAGCCCCAGGCAAACCATCAATCTCAGCATGTCCATTTGATAAACAAGTCATGTAATTAGGTTGGAGGCCATCGCTTTCAGCTTGGAGGCCATCGCTAGTAGGTCGGAGGCCATTCCTATTTTGAATATTCCAAATTTAAAGGCACGTCCTCATTTTCACAGGTCATTCAAGATATTCAATCAAAGGTGATCCTATGGCCCGATGGCCCATGCTGAGGCTCGGAAAACACACGGATCAGCTCCGTGCTGATCAGCATTGATCAGCTCGTGGCTCGAAGCAACCTGCTGGCCAAGGTGCTGTCTCATCGAAAGTGGGCTCCTTGGATGGCTCCAGTGCCTTTCGCACAAACATCTGAAGAGCTTGCCTGTGACCAGCGGCTGCATATAGCTGTGCTAGTGCATGTGCAGGGTATAGTGGATCAGGGGTTGATGATCAAAAAAATGTTCAAACATAATTACATACATATACATATATATATATATATATGTATATTATTCAAGAATTACCGTGCTTCGAGCTGTCCACCTCTTTCTCCAAGGCTGCTGTCAAGTGTATATAAAGTGGTGGGGTTACTGTGTCAGCTCCTGGCAAGACACTAGTGAGACCACCAGGTTAATTTGAACGCACTGTGGGAGACTGGACAGGTTGAATCACTGAGACGGTCCTCCGGGAGGATGCCCTGCAGCACAAGTCAAGACTTTGCCGATCATCCCTACCTGAATCCTGCCCGACGCAGGAGATGTCCAACATTTGGGGGGACACTGCTTCACCCGGCTGTCACGACCATAACTAGTACTAGTCGAGCATGGTCTAAAGTCTGTGTTCATTCGAGAGCCATTTGGATCCATCTTGCTGTTTATGTCAAGAGGGATCATGAGGGTCGTAATTGTG